ACAGGTGATGCCAGGGGGACACAGGTGATGCCAAGGGCACACAGGTGATGCCATGGGGACACAGGTGATGCCATGGGGACAGAGGTGATGCCATGGGGTCAGAGGTGATGCCAGGGGGACACAGGTGATGCCATGGGGTCAGAGGTGATGCCAGGGGGACACAGGTGATGCCAGGGGGACAGAGGTGATGCCAGGGGGACACAGGTGATGCCAGGGGGACGGAAGTGATTCCAGCCTCCTTCCCCTTCCCCCCTGGCACCTTCCTAGAGCTGCAGTGACAGTGGCCTCCAAGGACATGGAATTTGATTCCCTCTCCTTGGCAGAGCCCGGGAGGTGATGCCAAGGTGCTCCAGGTGGGACCTGACTGACCCCCGGGTGTGGCTTCTTTGGGCCCCCCGTTGCTGGAGCTGCCACATCTCCTGTCTGGAGTGTTCCTGCTCTTTCCACAAGCACCTCACTCCCAGCATTATTCCAGCTGCTGGTTTTTTGGGAGCTGAGGGGGGAGGCAGGGCTGTGTGTGCACATGTTCTTCTCCCTCGGAGCAGAAACTGCCTCGACACACCACAACCTAATAACCATCATAATTACAAATTACTCCAGGAGAGGGCATTTTGGAGGGCTGTTCTGTGCTCAGGAACACTCTCCCAGGCACACATTCCACCTGCCTTCCTCTGGAGCACGTGGAAATGGTGTCCCAGGGTGTGCATGTGTGTGTGTGGGGGGGGGGGGCCCCACGCCTGTGCTCCCTGTGCTGTCAAGTGTAAACAGACCATTTCTGCACTAAAAATAACCCTCTCCTCTGAGGAAGGGAGCAGCTGATCTCTGCAGCCCAGATGCAGGAGCTCAGAAGGCTGAGGTCACCTACTTTTCATTAATGGCATTATTTAATTACGAATTCCCCCGAGTCCCGTCCTCTGGAGGTTGGAAACAAAAGGGCCTCGTTGCTTCGCCTCCATCAGGGGCTTGTTTCAGTGTGTCCTCATAAAAATCCAGCCCTCCAAGCCAGTCTGTTAAGTGACTTTGACGTGAGAATGTCTCACAGCACAGCACGCATCACCGGGGGCTCCACGGCGGCTTTTTTGGGGAAAAAAACCCAGATTTTTGCCTCTTGTTTAAAATCACTCAGCGAACTCAGAGACTCCCCAGCGTGGCCTGTGCTGAACCCTTCTCCTCTTGCCTCTCCAGGCACCTGGTAGGTGCTGTAATTAAAGTCCAACAGGGGTCCAGGGAGGGTAATTGTGCACTTTGGGGAGCAGGAGGAGGAATCCAAGC